ATAAGCAGAAGAAGCTGGGTTAACCTGTGTGGGTGTGATTAGTTACAAAATAAGGCATAAAGAGTCTACCAATTGCTTACTGGAAACAAAATAATATAAATCAACTTCATTTTTGTACATCAGTATTGAAGATTTAGAAATGGAATTTATAAAACTACTTACATTAATATAAATTTATATGAAATACATATGAATGAATCTAAGGTAATATATGCACTCTCAAAACAGAAAAAAATGGATAAAATATTTCTAAAATTTATATTTTTTATTATTAGTTGGTTTTGTGAATTGAAACCAGGGTGCTGTACTACCAAGCTTCACTCCTAGCACTCCTCCAACCCTTTTAATTTTTTTGAGACAGAGTCTTGCTAAATTATAGAGGCTGGCCTCCAATTTGCAATCCTCCTGCCTCAGCCCCCCAAGTTGCTATGATTAGAGGCATGCACCACCCTACCCTGCTAGAATTTAGAAATAATTACAAAAAGTTAGGATAATTAACATATAAGAAAAGAATGCACTGAGAGGACAAGGTCCATACTGTGGAAATGGTGGTGGACTTCTGCCTTTACAATATTTATCATGGATACTTGAAGGTCGTTGTTGTTTAATAGATGGTTTTTAAAGATATGCCTGATAAACAATTTGTCATCAAGAAATGCAAAACAGAAAGTTCTACAATTCTGCTTCCTTGCTATGGTTCTGCATTGTTGCAGGGCCTAACCTTGGACCCTCATGGAAGAATGCTTATCTTGCTCATTGTGAAGCAGGGAAGTCCTAACATAGAACATTTTGTTTTGGGACAGAGTGCTGTCAGAATACTGGCAAGAGGCATTTCCTTGCTCCCTTCACAAGCAGTTATTCCCTGTTTGGTGCAAAGTTGGCCTATGTGACAGTTTCTTGACTCTTGGTGTCTGGATTCCTGTAAGATGGTATGTATGTATCACCTCTGGCCTATCATGACTGTTATGTGTAAATTGGCACATACGCATTATAAAAGGGATTTTTGCTGTTCAGTAAAGCAGACGCTGTTCTCTGAAACCGTCTCTGGAGGGGTTTCTCCACGCCCTCAAGCTCCCCACAGTGGATGCTGGAAGGGCAGGCCCCTCAGCACTGCATCGTGTCTTAATTCAAGTCTATTTCAGGATTTCTCTGGTCAGTGAAGTCATTGCAAATTCACTTTATTATGCTCACTGGAGGAAAGTATTACATTTGAAAGAAAAGACTGCGAAGCACAGACGGAAGCAGGGATCCATTTCTGTGATTTTGAGGAGTCTGATCACATTCTGTTGCTGGAGCTGTGGTTAAGAACTGTTTACGACTGTTTCATCCCTGGAGATGCAGCACAGGCTGTTATCCATCCCTCATGTGCTATCCCAGGAGAAACAAGGAGTGCTTATAAACCTAGTGGAAGCATCCAATCCTCACTACCTGCAGGATCAAAGGTTTTCAAGATCCGAGGTACAAGGAGGATCAAAATTGTAGATTTTGTAACCAGTACAGGTTTGAGTCTTCCCAGGTAAGGGAAAATCCAAAAAGAGCAAGTACTAGAAGTACAGAAAACAAAACAAAACAAAAAAGGAAAAATGATTAAAAAAGATAAGGTAAGAAAAGGACTGAAAAATAGGATTATGTGCTGAAGAGACATACATTTAGACAAACACAAAATAGAAAGAAATGACAGAAGAGAAAGGTACAAACAAGACGTTTATACAGTAAATTAAAAGAGAGAAAATGAGAAAGTCACAAAAAGTAGAAACAGAAAGAGGATATTCCTTCATCTACAGTGGAGAAAATTTTAGTCAGAATGGCACAAAGTGCAATTTAAATGATTTGGGAAACAGCTCTTGGTTGCATACTAAGCCTTTATAGTGATACAACTGTCTAATGCACAAACTTCAGGTAAGTGTTAAAATTAAATTATGCATAATAGTAGGTATATTTTATTGTATTTTGTGCTAAGGTATAGTTCCAAAGAGTAAAATTATTTGAAGGGCAATGTATAATTTTATGTAGGAGGGAAAAATGGCTGTCTCCATGTGTGAACAATTTTGGAATGCATGGTATATTTTAAAGTCCTTCTCCAATTTTTTTTTCAATTTTAAGATAATATGGTTGGTAGAAAATAATTTTCAAGAACTTTGGCTAAGGTGATGGAGAGGCTGCAAGAAAATAATCTTACCTTTAGGCTTTTTCCCTTATTATTTGCAGTGTGTGATGTGAGTCTTTTAGCAACTCCACCTTTTGAAACAGTGGTCACTGCTCTCAACTTCAGTGTAGTTAAATTACATTAAAATAAACAAACAAAACCCAAAATTACTCAATGTGAATGATCTAAAAATAGAGTTAGAAGAAAATCAACTGAGAAAAGACAACAATAAAGAGAATGAAGAAAAATAAAAGATGTGAGAGATGTATAAGAAAGAAAATGCATACACGGAAACAGGAGAACAGTGGTGGGCAGGGGGAGGACATAGGGAGAAAATGGTCAAAGGACGTAAACTTGCAGTTAAATAGTAAAAGAAATCTAACACACAGCATGAAGGCTAAAGTTAATGATAGGGCATTGTATACTGAGAATTTGGTAAAAGAGTAAATTTTATGTGCTTTTACCTTCCATCCTCATAACATGTATGGAACGTAACAGGATAATCTGCTTGACTGTAGTAATTATTTCACTATACATATGTGTATCAAAACATCATGCTTTAACCCTGAAATGTATGCAATAAAAAGAAATGGAAAGCATACACAGGGGTATTCTTGTATATTGTAACTTCAGTCTGTGGAATTAACGGACAGGATTTTAATTTTATTAATTACAGCTGCAATTTTCTAAGCACTGCAATCAACACATAGGAGATTTAGAGCTGGGAGAAAGATTATTCTAAAGAATGGTGATTTGTTTAATTTCCTTATACTAATCTGATAACTGAAGAAAATATGATTTATATTAGGGTTGGAAGAATTAAGGAAGAAAGCATAGAATAATTTTGTAGCATGGAAAAAAAACAAAAACAAAAACCCCCAAACAAAAACAAAAACCCTGCTTAGGAGTAAAGAAAAGTAAATGTCCAGAATGAGTATTCTGCCTGGTAGGTGTTGAAGAATTGGTGAATAGCTGACTGCTTTATTCAAGACAAAAGCCCCAATGAAAGCTCAATTTAGGCTGCTTGGGTCTGGAGAAGAATATCAGGGTGGAGTCTGACCCAGAGGATGAGAGATACCTGGACTTGTGGAAAGTGAGAGAAATCATTCTTAACACATGGAGAGTTGGACTGGCGTTTTCTTCTTTTCTAAAGTCCTCTTCAGAATTTTAGGTTGCGCAGCCTAAGAACTTTTAGTCTTCCCACTATAAAATGGAGATAAGAATCAGTAGAAAGGAGAAAATAAAAAATAATAAAATCTTTTTATACAATCAGAACAATAAGAGATCACTGGTAGGTAGCCAGAGCCCAGACTCTTCAGTAAGAGTCTGAAATCTTCTAGGAGCAATGAGGGAGATGCTGAGCCATGGCTGTAGAGATGTCTGAGGTCTATGTGGCCTGAACTCTAAAGCACAAGGTATGTGAGGGCTAGACATGGGTGAGATAGGAAAGCACAGAATGCAAGGGCACAGAACCCTGTAGCACTTTGGTGTTGAGTTCAGTGCCATCAACCCAGAAAACTGCAAGGGCAACAAGGGCATCTAGCTCAGCAGGAGAAGCTGCCACAGCAAAGATGACCAAGGAAAGGAAAGGCAGGCATTGGAGTCAAGTTTTGAAACAGGAGGAAAGAACTTGGTGGTTGTAAAAGGCACTGATGGTGAGTATTCAAGGCTGTGTTCCTGGGGCTCCTATGGGTTCATAGAAGTAGGTGCAAATGAGTCTTAAAATTTGAAGAAAAAAAACCTTGAAATTTGTTATTATAAGCAGAATTTTAAAAGAATAATTAATCAATCAAGAAATGATAGGGGCTGGAGGTATAGCTCAGTTGCAGAATGCATAACTAGCAAATGTAAAGCCCCAGCACTACAACAAAGAAACAAAAATCCTTAAAGAAATGATGAATTCCAATAAAGTGGGATATTATCCATTTTACCTATTTAAGACATATTTGATAAGTACCTCTTAAATATATTGTTTTAATATTATTTTGTAGGGGAACAGTTGCAAAACTGCCTTTGGAAGGACTTTCATGTTTGCAAGTTGATCTTGCACTCTAAAGACTTATTTTTTAAGTATTTAATCCATGATCTGATATATACATAAAAATGTGTGTGTGTGTGTGTGTGTGTGTGTACATACAGAAACATTCCTCTTCCTCCGCCTCCTTCTTCTCAACCAGGAGAATGGTTTAGGTTGGGAAGTAGTTGTTATGTTAAGCTGCTAAAACTTATATGAGTGTGTGGCTATTGTGGAATTTGTTTTCTCTTGTCTGTTTTCTTTTCATACAAAAGGGGTATTTATCTTTTAGCACTAAGATATTAAATATTTAAATGCTTAAATATTATGAATTATCAAATAAAAATAAGATCAAAGGGAAACTATGTTAAGTTCTTGGAATCCATTCAAAACTTATTCATAAAAATAACCTTAGAACAATACTGATTTACTCCAGAACATTTATAACTGGGTATTTATGGAAATCCTTAGGAATTTTCATTACTTTTAAAATTTTCATCTTTATACTATATAATAAAACTTACTTTCTCTACTCTTGTTCTGCTTGAGTTTTTTTTTTTTTTTTTTTTCAGTGTCTTCAATGCAAATCCAAGAAATCTTTCATCAGAGATGACCACATTTATGTGGTGCACCCTTTTGTTCCAGAGTTTGGTGCCCTTTAATTTGGGGAAATGTTTCTTATGTAAGACCCACAAGAGTCTCCTTCTTTCTTCTGATGTGAGGTTAGAGGAGGGACATATTTATCATCCCAGTTACACTGTTGCACTCAGAACAGATAACTTTGAGGATTAAGTAACACAGAACGTTCTTCACTATTCACCAAGTCACACAGGGGTCATCATGGTGGTTTGGAACAACAGTAATTCTGTGGATCCCATATTTATCCTGAAGGGTTTTCCTGAATTGGAGTATGTTCACTCTTGGCTCTCAATTCCATTCTGTCTTGCATATTTGATAGCATTTGTTGGAAATATTACCATCCTCTCTGTTGTTTGGATAGAGTCCTCACTCCATCAGCCCATGTATTACTTCCTTTCCATCTTGGCAATAACTGACTTGGGTATGTCCATGTCCACACTTCCCACGATGCTTGCTGTGCTCTGGTTCAATGCTCAGGAAATCCAGGCAAGTGCTTGCTATGCCCAGCTGTTCTTCATCCACACATTCACATTTTTGGAGTCCTCCGTGCTGCTGGCTATGGCCTTTGACCGTTTTGTTGCTATTTGCCGTCCACTGCACTATTCCACCATCCTCACCAACAGTGTAATTGGGAAGATTGGTTTGGCCTGCTTGCTTCGAAGCATGGGAGTTGTACTGCCCACGCCTTTGCTACTGAGACGCTATGACTACTGCCATGTCAATGCCCTCTCCCATGCATTCTGTTTGCACCAAGATGTTCTGAAATTATCCTGCTCAAACGCCAGGATCAATAGTGTTTATGGACTGTGTATAGTCATTGTCACACTAGGTATGGATTCAGTCTTTATACTTCTTTCCTATGTTCTGATTCTGAATGCAGTACTGGGTATCGCCTCTCACAATGAGCGGCTAAAGGCACTCAACACTTGTGTGTCCCATATATGCGTGGTGCTCATCTTCTTTGTGCCAGTTATTGGGGTGTCGATGGTCCATCGCTTTGGGAGGCATCTGTCTCCCATAGTCCACAACCTCATGGCTGACATCTATCTACTTCTTCCCCCAGTGCTTAATCCCATTGTCTACAGTGTCAGGACAAAGCATATTAGGCTAGGCATTCTCCGCAAGTTTGGACTATGGAGAAGGCTTTAAATAAACTTCATCTTCCAGTTCTCCCACTGAAAATATTGGGCATTTTATTTAGTTATATAGTAAATATAAATAATTTAGGTCTTAGTCTTGTTCATCTTGTGAAATTCTTATTCTTTCACTTCCTAGATCTGTGATCTCAGTTATTCATTAATCTTTATATCATTTGAGTTTTCTATGACAAATTGTGATAATAACCATGGCCTTTTTTATCCCCAAGATCATTATGAAGTTTAATCATAGATAATGTGTAAATTAGAAATGAAGGTTTAAAATACTGTATACATTTTTAATATTGTAAAATTAGTAATAATAGCAGCAATAACTTTTCTTCAGAAATGTAACTGCTTATATAGTTTCTCAGGTTAACGATAATGTACAACTCAGAAATTGATCTCTGCTTCTTCATTTTTTTTCTAACACATGTGCTCATATTTTGTTTGTTGCATTACAGTTTCATAACATTCAATGTAAAGACTTCTGAGTTCTTATGGCAAGTTAAGAACTTGAGGTCCTGGCATGACTTTGAACTGTTACTAATCTCCTCCCTGGGCAGTGATATGTCCTTCCTCTCATTATTATTCTAGAACTATAGTTTCCCTCAGTTTACAATTAGATACACAAGGGTTGCTCAAAAAGCCTGAAAGTACCCTTCTGAACATCCAGACAACTGCATGGAACAGTTGGTTGGGAATTGGGTACCATCTCCGTCTTTATCTTTTAACAATCATTTTCTTACTGTTCTATAAGTCTATGCACATCTTTAGAACTGCATTTTCATTCAATGTCTTTATTATAGATAATACATTAACTTTTTTCTTTTCCACTAGGAAGACATATATTCATGCTTTTGTGGGTGATGTTTTTATTATTTCATTTATATTCACTTTCTTATAAAGTATACAGCCAAATATTTTTAGTATAGGGCTATAAATTCTCCAGTAACACAGCACTGCACAGTTGGTCTCCTCCAGTAATGAGTAATCATAAATAGTTGAAAGTATAAAATTTGCTGCTTATTCATTCATTCAAGAAAATATATTGAGACAAATTAATCAGGTATTATAGTAGTTATTACTTTTAATACTGTAGGTGTATAAACATGAAATTACATGGTCTTAATGTTAAGTAATACTTTTTTTAATTGGGGATTGAACCCACAGACACTTTGCCACTGAGCTATATCCCTGGTCTTTATAAGTTTTTATTTTGCTAAGTTGTCAAGGATAGTTGTGGGTTTGTGATTCTCCTGCTTGAGCCTCCTAATTCACTGGTATTACAGGCATACACCATTGCTCCTGGCAAGAATAAATTTTTAACAGTGAAGATACATATGTAAAAAGTTTAGTAAATTCAGTGTAATGGATTGTATTATGAAAATAGATGCACTATACAATATTAATAAAGAATAGTCAATTTTACTCAAGGAATTAGGAATAAAGAATTATAGTAGTTGTTACTTTAATTTTGTCTTGGGTTTCCAATTCATTCTCATTACTTGAACAAAGTTTAAAAAAAAATGGTATGCTGAAAGCCAATTGGGAATGTTTTATTCTAACTGTGTTCTATAATGTCACATTGGTAGTTTGAAATTGGTCATGATGGGGTATTTAAATTCCAGATATTGTCAACACTATATACCAGTGTTTTAAAAGTAATTCCTATAGAGCTGATTATTAAGAATTTACTTATATATCACTCAGAATGGTATTCCTGGGAGAGGAGATAGCAAGAATAAAAACAAAGGATTTAGAAGTTGCCTGTATGAGTAATAATCTTCAATCTCCAAGAGAGACTAAAAAGTTGTCCAATGCACCTTGCATTTACCCCAAACCCAAAGTGCTCTGACATGGTTGTGATGGACTAGAAATGTACTATCCAATCCCATTTGAATGAAGGATTTGTAGCCTGAGCTCTTGGTCCTGTTTCTAACAGAGAACCTTCAACCATTAACCCCTTCAAGGATTGCCTCAGGTGAAGAAATATGCCTTTGTTCAAGATTATTACCCATCCATGAATGAAGTATAAAGTAAGATATAGAGGCATGTCATTTTGGATCAATGCATAAAAAATGGTTGGACAGTTTGAGCTCTTGACTTCCTTGTTGTGTTGGATAAGAGTATCATCAGACATGATTTACAGTTCCAATTCTCTTTCTGCCCAATTCTACCTTATTCTACTCCTTTTCTTTCTTAGATGCTTATCCCAAGGATTCTCTGCATTAAACCTGGTTCACATTATGGGTTAACTCAAGTCTGTTTCCTAGAGAAACTTGGGGTAAGAGGTTCCCAGAAAACCTAGGGCATAGAGAAAACATGAAATAAAAATTTTAAGGATATCCTTTTCTAGAAAGATGGAACAGAATGAGAATTCAAGAATAGGTAGCTATATTTTCTAATTTTCAAAGATTAAAAAAAAGGCCAAACTAGTATGTGAAGGAGGAAAAATGGAAGTAACCCTGTGACTCTAACTGATATTTTAAAATATATGTGTCATGATATTTTCTGTTCTCTGTGTATGCTCTTAATACTATGTTTCAAAAATATTCTTAATTTTAAATAAAGTCTAATTTATAAATTTTCTTAATTTTATTGTTTTTAAAGAGATTTCTGTCTACTATGCCATTCAGAGTCCAATCAGAAAACAAAACTGCATAAGAATATGAATAGGGTTAGTTAATCCCTGTGTAAGTAATTGACTTTGTCAAGGAATGAGTTTTAAAGAGAGATAGAAGTAAGTCTAAATAGTAGCCTAGACTGAGAAAGACTATTCAGGGAAGGAACAAACTTGGAAGAGGGGTGGTTCTCTGCAGGTTGGAAGTAGATGCTTTATTGAAGAACATGTGGTTTCTGCCCACTGGATACCAGGGCAGTTCACTCAGTTGCCTTGAGCAAGAAAGAGAACATCCCTATGGGGAATAGGTGGCCTGAGGCTGGCAACCAAGATTCCCTACTAGGCATAGGGGGAAGAAAGTATCCCTCCAGGATGCAGGTGGACTGAAGCTGGCAGACAGGGAAACGTAGTTGGGTCTGGCAACTAGGATACCTTTGTGAAGCACGTAGGAAATCACAGCTTGCACTGACAACCTTGAAACACTCCCTGCAGTGTGAGGGTAGCTTATGGCTGAGAAGCCCACTAGTAGAGTGACTCTAAAATTCAGTTAGAAGTTAGTCAGGGATACTGCTGGAATTTGATGGGATGAAACCAGATATAGTGCTGCATACCTGTAATTCTAGCTACTCAGGAGAGTGAGGCAGGGAAATTCTAAGTTTGAGAACCTGGGCAACTTAATATGAACTTGTCTTAAAAAAAATACTGAAAGGTTGGGGAGTTAGCTCAGTGGTACTGCACACATGAGTGATATCTCTGGTTATACACACATACACACACACCCCTCCCTATCCCTATGTGCCACTCATATCTGCCTGATAGAAGTAAGAAGATCAAACAAGTACAAGAATTTCTCCTACTGCTGTCTCTGCGATGTCCTCTACTGGCCAAGCTTAACACTGTGTCATGGCAAAAGAAAAATGTCTATTGGTTCTGGTTATCATTATTGCTGAGTAGGCAATAAAGACCATGTTTGCATATTTGAGGCTGGGGCAATAAATAGACAACTGTCATATTTACTAATGTAATCAGTGATATCCTTCTGGGAAATTTTTGAAAGTTCTATGGCTTTACTTTTTATATTTGAACATGCAATCTGTGTTGAATTTATTTTTATGAATAATGAACATACGTTTTGTATGAACATAGAGTTCAATCAGACTCTTTATTCACATAAAATGCTATATTGTATACTCTTGTCATACAATGTAAACCCATTTGTATAGGTCTATTTATGGTCATTTTTGTTCTGTTAATTGGATAATGTTTTGCTCTCCTGAGTTAATCTAATACTGTCCTTAATTACAATGGTTTTACATTAAGTTTTGTTACAAGATAGTGTCAGCCCACCAGTTTGAGAAGTATTCCCACATCAAAGACTATAAATATTTTTATATTTGTGTTTCACTTCTAAGTTTTACAGGAGATATTCAATTTCTACAAAATCTTGAGCTTGATTTTATACACTATTTTGGAGTGAGCAGCCATTTAATAATATTAAGACTTATAATATATAAACACAGTGAACTCTTCATTAAATTAGATGATCTTAAATTTCCCTCACTTTTCTTTGAAATTTTAAGTATAGAAGTTTTGCACGTTTTCATTAGTATTTTTATCCTCTGTAATTTGGTTGCCAGTATAAGCAGTATGCTTTAATTCTTAGTTTATCTTTTGCTAGCATATGATTTTTGGAAATAGAAAAGGTACAAGCTTACCATGATGAGTTAACTTATTGGTTCTGATGACTTGTCTTTAGAGTATTTTGCATTTATTAAAGGTTAAACAATGTTGTATGTGGATAAAAATTTTTCATTCCTTCTAATATTTTATCTTTTGTGTCTTTTCTCAACCAGTTTTATTGATGAAGACTTTAGCAAAATTTAAAAGTATTGTATTTTCTTTTCCTCCTTTATCTCTGGGAAAATTGCTTAATATTTAATAACTCAGATTGAAGTATCATTGCAGCTTTTCAACCAAAACAAGTACAATGTCTTCTGTTTCAGTTTTAATGTTTGTTTTTGCATTATTATTAACATTGCACTTAGTTAACATTGTTTTTCATAAATATATATTATAAGTGACTTCCTCATTTTGTGTTAATATACTGAATTATTTGTGATTTTTTCATGTAAAATGACTTTAATCTCCAAATAAAATTCAAGAAAACCAATGTGGTGTGTGTGTGTGTGTGTGTGTGTGTATAATCACTACATTAGATTTGAAATATTTTCAGATTTCATAATCAATTTTATAGAAGAATCATAGTCTTTGATATTTGCTTTCTGTGATAGTGTTATCCAGTATTTCAGTGCAGATTATTGTTGCCTTACAAAAATCTCTAGAGAAATTATCTACTTCTGCATTCCCTAGCAATAAATTTGTAAACTTCC